TTTCTCCTACACACAGGAATGTCTGATCTATCACATAGGAGCCGAATGAATCAGTAAAAGACAATTGAAGCAAAAGAGTTGCTTTAATCCCTGTCCAATTCACCAGTTAAATGTCCAGACACGTACGAGACATTTTTACGTTGAGGCTTAATGAATGCTGTATTGGCTTGTTCAGCGTCTTCCTTTCTGAGTTTCTGCAGCTGTCTGTGTGGGTTTGTCTGGCGAACTTGACTCCAAATCCCCAAAACTGCACAGATCTTATTTATTAACTCATTATTGTCTTTTTTCTCCTCTCACTGTAAGTTTAGAGTTTGTTCCACCTGGGCAACTCTTGAGCTGCACTTTTTTAATACCACCACTTACTTTCCTGTTACCAATTACACCTTTTCTCCTTGCTCTGGTATCTCCATAACTGACTGATAGCGGTTAGGCTTAGGTTTGCAAACTACTTCAACTTCACAAGACTTGAAGACTAACCTGTTAGTCTTTGAGAGTTGTCGTGAAAATTGTGCAAAAAGAATAAAATACCTGTAAAATATGAAGCAACAATAGCAGAGGAGTTACGTGTCTGCTCTGTAACCGGAAGGGATGCTGGTTCATGCTGCTCAGTCAGTCGCAGCCATTGTATCCTTGGGCAAGACATGTCGCAGTATGGAAACAGTGGCACCTAGTGTGCATGCATTGCTACATTGTAGTTCATCATCACCTGTGTGAAGGTATGTGTGGTTATTGGTGAATGACTGTAGTGTTGTAACGTGCCTTCAGAGGGGGCGAGGTCTCCAGAAAGTGCAGTACAAATGGTCATTTACCATGAAAACCAAGTTCATATTCAAGTGGATTGTAGCAACACATGTTTTACCAGTAATGCAATTTCTTGTTTTCCTGGCATTATATAATTAAACAGACACATTTTTCATGCACTCTCAGTAAATTCTCAGCAGGACCAGGAAGTAAATTAATCAATATAAAAGCAAGTAAAGACATGACGACAGAACACAAACATTCAGAGCCACTGGATAAGCAGTATAGTGTAACGTCCAGCAATGGTCAGTTTTTAGGTACAGTTTGACCATTCAACATCTGGTCAAAAAGGACACACAAGACTGCATGTGTCCCCTTTAAATTGGCCTGCCTTCATCCCATCAGCTGGAGCTCAGAGTCTCTGCAGCTCTGCACACAGACAACGACATGTCAGCAACAACATTCTCTCCTCAAGGTCCAATCTTCCTCCATATAAGGAACACTCCAGCTCGGATCAGTTGGCTAAGTCAAAGAATGATTTCCTAAATCAGATATGAACTTCTACAACTTATAAGCTAGATAATCATTAAATAAAGGTTTGTTTATTGCTACTTATAATAATTATAATATAATGAAATGCTTCATTATTCTGTGCTCAATGACTGAAGTGTGAAATGAATGTTATGTTATGATTACAGTAGTTGAAATGTTTCACCATGTTAATATGACAAGGTCATAACCATTTGCACTCACACAAAGATAAAGTGAGGTTAAGTTAAACTCTGACACATAAATAGTCTTTTACCCCAGTCAGAGCCTCCGTATCAAAGAAGGTGTGTTTCTGAGTTTCTTGGTAACATTTTTCAAACCTGTCATCCTTTGGTTGGCTACGCAAATCATATGAGATCCTTAAAACTGGATCACTCCGGGTGATTCAGCAGTTCTAGAGAAAGCTTCAGACTGGCCACCTGAAGCAAAACCCTCTTTAACCCATCAAAGCTTTTGACACGTCGTCAAAATCTTTTTGCACAGCGAAGCTGATAAAGCAAACAGTTCCTGCAGAACAAGCTATTGGTTAGACTCCTTCAGAGTCCCAGACGCGCGGTTCCATCCGTCTGTTGTGACCTGAGACAACTCTGAGACCGGTTTTGTGGGGCCGCAGTTTCTTCTACGGACCTCGGTGCCTGGAAGTCCGAGGACGTCGACATTCCAGATCTACCAAGTGGGTCTCTGAGAACGGATGAAGTCGACATGACAGATTGCGTCTGATGTGTTTTGATAACAACCAACTTCATAGCTTAACACAAACTAAATTCTTTTGCATCCAGAACTCAGCTCTCCTAGATAAGGAAGTTCTGACTAACACCGCATTCACACCTAGGTTCATACATCACCTTTAGTTCCATCCATCACAGTAAATGCTTAGTTAATTTGTCATGTTTTAATTGTTTGTTAAATAAATTCTTACTTTTATAAACCTGACTGTTTTCTGAATCAAAACGAAGTGTGTACAATCCCCTAATAAATAAAGACTCCTAGAATCTTCTGATAAACACAGTAAAGACCAAGCAGAGTTGATATTGTTTGTTTAGATGGAGTATCACAGCTTTTTGGTCATAAGTAGAGGTAATATATTTATTGAGCTCTTAAAGCACTCAATTTACCAAACCCTACACTAGTCTGTCTGCAGAATGTGATTAGTATTAAAGGTGGTGGGCAGTGTGAACAAACTTCCAGGCAGCAGTTAATGAAAAGTGGAAAACTCTGGAAGGTTTTCTGTTCAGAAAGAGCTGAAGGCAAGCAGCGAGGCATGAATGTAGAGGCTGACAGTGAGATATTCACGCATGCTACTGTTGGCTGACCTCTCACACGGGAAGCCAAGCTGAAGCACAGAAACCAAATACTTTCTGAAGTCCAACACTTGGAGGATTGTGTCATTACCAGAGAAGCCATGTTTCTGAGAGCCATTTGAAGGCCACACATGAAGGTAAATAGAAAATGACCAGAAATTTTATAGTAGCTTCTTGGGGTTATACAACCCCCCCCCCCCCACCCCCCACCCCCACCCCCCACCCCCCACCCCCACCACCACCACCCCAAGGCGCTTTACAGTGCAATCAGTCATTCACCTATTCACACGCTGGTGGGGGTGAATTCTGATGTAGCCACAGCTGACCTGAGGCGCACAGCTTTTTTGTCCTCTAACACAGAACACAGTCATGGACTCTTCTGGTCCTATAAATCTGTCTTCAACCAAGTCAAGAGATGCTACTAGGGATGCACATCTCTCTGTGAAAAATGATTCAATATGAATCTAGATGCACAGGTTACGATTCGATTCAAAAACGATATCCTTTTATTACAGACTGATTCGAAACAGTTCGGTTCGATTTTTAACGATTTGATACAGTAAGAATAACTAAACAATTAGATTCTATAGTTTATATTTGTTGAATATATTTTATAAAGAAAATAACCCAGTTCTGTTAAAGTGACAGTACCACATTTATTTTCAAATATGTAAAAAAAAACATGTCTTAAGCATTGTGGCTTTATGGCACTTGTAGGAAAAAAAAGAAAAAAGAAAAACAGAATACAAAAACCACATGTTACTATACTCATTTTTAGGCATGGAGAAATGTGGTTGGATTGCTGGATGGGAAGTCCAGAGGTAAAAGTAGCAAGACTAGTTATAAAAAAGTGCAAGATTTCAGCCTGAGCTTGTTTTGAACACTAGAGGTAGGTAACAAAGTGCAACATTGTCATGTAAACATGTCACACACCTTAGGTGTGTTCTTGCTGTGTCGTGGTTCTAATTCCATGCTGTCGTTCTTTTTTTAAAACACAGAACCAGTTTCGTTACCTGTTTTTCTCTAAGTTTCGTCTGCGGCTGCAGACTTCCTCTGGCTGACGCTGATCCTCTCATTACCAGCAACGGAAATGCTGCTAAAAACACACAATTATGTGAAGCTGGAAAAATTAAAATGCTGTGCAAAATTACATTCATTTCTGTAATTTAACTAGACTGAGACACCATTTAAAGGCTCAGGAACCTTTACAGGTGTTTCTATTTGCAATTTTAAATTTTAGCTGATTGGGGTATTGTTAAATATCACACAGTGACCTTTTAATAGTCTAGATAGTGTAATGTTCCTGTTAGTAGTTCCTACTGTTAAGTGCTTATTTGTTTAAATTATTCAGGTTTATAAAAACATTTGGACATACATTTTATTATGTTCCAGTCATTAGTCATTTATATTTCACTATTGTAGTAATTCTTGCATGCTATAATGAAAAAAGTAACTAAGTAGTTATTTTTCTTGGTAATTAGTTACTTTTATAATCTTGTAACTCAGTAACTGAGTTACTTTTTGACAAAGTAATCAGTAACTATAACTAATTACTTTTTTAAAGTAACGTTCCCAACACTGCTCGCCTTAGGCTACTGCCCCCGCGACCTGACTCCGGAGAAGCGGATGAAAATTGATGGATGGATGGAACTGTTGAGTACCCCTGCTTTAACCAATGCTCATCAGGCCACCTTCTTTTATTGTTCCGCTCATGTCCATCATGGACACTTTCTAACTTTGGCTGAGTCCAAATTCAGGTGCTGTATTTTTTTTTTTTTTAAACCCAGCCTACATCGACTGGAGCAGGTAGGCAGGTCGCAGAAGGGAACCGTTTCTTTGTTGCTGCATTTTGTTGTTTGTCTAGTCTTTATTTTTGTGTAGTCTCCCCAGGATTTCAAACCATCATGGGATGCTCACTCTGCTAATGTCCAATTATGCTTACAATGGAGAGTAAGCATCTCAGGATTTGTACATTACATGGAGACAAGAAGATGGTAAATTACTCTTTGAAAACAACTGACTATAAAGTTGACTTTCTCCATCGCCATTTCTTGTAATAAAATATAAAAATGACAGAGATGTCACAAATGCAGTAGTTTATTGGAATGCAAAAGGCATGCTAATAAGAAGACTGATACCATCAAACTGAGAGCAGTGTCTGAGATGTTGGAGGCAAACATGGACCCAACCACAAGAAGCAGAAGATTAAGTGGCTGCAGTGTCACCAGCCCAGAAGAAACACAGAAACACAAAATGAAATTAATAACTACTCAAATCTTACTACAGTAAGTATTTGAGTCATTTGCTCGTTCTACAGACCACGAAGGGTTCTGATAGGCTGATTTTAAACAGGCCAAATGAGACAGGAAGTGGAGAAACAGACGTCATTCTGACACACTCAGCAAGAAATTCTATAAAATTCATTTATTTTTAAAGTTTACATTGAAGACACATAAGCAACATGTTCAACCTTCTAATAAAATTATAAATGCAACATGACAAATATTGTCTATGTGATTAAAGAACCTGCAGATGGATATTCAGCATCATTCTCTTTGTTGTGTTTTTCCATCTTGTCAAGTTGTTCAGAGTTCCTCCTGTTCAGGACGTCTTTGAGGTCAGGCAGGTTGGGGGTTTGATCCCTTCAGCAGCCAGGACATTTTGCTTTAGCTTGGAAAAAAAAAAATACAGGAGATTTAATAAAAACTATCAAAACTACAACAACAACAACTAAGTATCCTGAGGCGATACTCTCACCATGCTTTCCCAAGCTTGTGTTTTGTTTGGTTTTGTTGTTAAGAAGACATTCGGTGTGAGTTTAATCATTTCCTGCAGCTATAAATGCTTGGCTGACTTCCAGCAAACGCCTCCTCACACTCTCTTGAACAAAGGTGTGAGTGAAGCCCTCTTCTCAGTTTTATAATCTGCCAGATTCTTCCCAAAAAAACCTCCCTTGTTTGTTTTTTTTAACTCATCTTGTCTGACATGTTCGTGTTCTGACACAAACTTTTTACGTAGAAGCTCCTAGATCATCTGATTGATTAGATTTAATAGCTTTCTTAACCTGCTTCTGACGTAAAGTCTGCACTTGTTTCAGTTTTGGCATCATTCCCTGCGCATGTCTGTTGTTCAACTACAACAGTTGATTATTGTATTAAAAATATGGATTATCATATGTGATATAATCATACTTTTCCAAACTAAAACGTGGAAATTGGCACATGACAGAAAAACGTTAAGCAGCCAGTAAGATGATCGGAAGCTAATGTGCAAAATTATTTATGCATAACAAGGATGGGACCAGACTACTTCCTGGGAAACTTGGCACTATCAGTATGCTGTCAAGTCAACAGTGAGTTTTATTTTACAGACATGCACTCATGCACAAATTTCAACAGTGACTCTAAGTGCAGATGCTCTACTCTAAAGACTTTTAAGGACCTGAAAACCAACAGTCAAAACAACAACCTGCACAAACATGAATCACATCACCAGACAGGATCATGCTCAGAGCAGCACAACAGTTGCAAACCCAGACTAAGAAATGTGTCTTGGCTCTGTGATGGGGTGTGTTTCACTTACAAGACTAGGGGGGAAAAAAGGAGACGCGGCAGGCAGGGTTCATGGAAAGTCTGCTTTTAACAGAAACTGTAGAAAATTAGGAAGATGGGAATTTCTCCTGACCACGCCTGTCTGGGTTTTTCTGTTTAACACACAAATCCAAAGTGAAATTTAAAACATCTGCTGACAGACAAACCAAACATTAAAGCAACGCTTGTTACAGACATTTGTTACAATCTCACAAAGATCAGCTTAATCACCAGAGTCAGATGCAGATGTCAAAGTTTCTGGAGTTTGTCTCGCTAGCTGAGTTCCCCAGATGACATCAAATCTCCTTTGACGGGCTCGTTAAGTCGTCTCTGTCCTCCTATGATGTGCCATCAAAGCAGAGAAGTCCCAACACAAGCAATGTGTTGCTTGTAGATTTACAGAAAACATAATTAAAGCTTTTTAAAATTCAGGCTATCATAATAAAACAATCGTGCATGAAATGAAGAAGATTTTTACAAAGAAAAGAATGCAATGATTAATAAAAAGTTAACCAAACCTTTCAAGTTACAAATCTTACCAGAAGATTGCTATGTGATCCTGTTGAGTGCGCATTTCTTGCTATCGAAGCCGTTAGTTTGGTTTCATCCATCAGACAGAAAAAAATGTGAAAGGATAAAAGGGAGGAGCTCAGAGCTCAAAAGCAAACCTGACGCAAACAACGAAGTTATTATGTTCTGGTCCCTGTGGTCCCCAGCCCCTCCAGGTTCCCTCATGTGTCCCCTAATCTTCTGTGCCCCTTTTGGTCCCCAGCTTCTCCAGGTTTCCCTGTAGTCACTTCACTTATCATTAGTTTTCTGTTATATTAGATTATCTAGTTCATATCTCACTTTAGTGTATTGTGTTCCTTCCCCATGATCCTCTCCTGCCTTCCAGTATAATTAGTTCTGTCACTCTGAGGTCATTAGTTTATTAATCTTTAGTCTTATTTCTACGGTGTTTACATTCAGTAGATTTGTCTTACAGATTTTAGGTTTTGTTTCCTCACCTGCCCTGTTCTGCTCCTCCTCTCAGTTATCAATCTCACCTGTGCCCAATTCCCTTAATCACCCAGCCCTGTGTGTAAAACCCTGTCTTGTCTCTCAGTGTTTGTCGGTCCATTGTCGTTGTCAGTGTTGTTCTGTTCCCCCTCGTGAAACTCTAGGTTTTGCTCATCAAGGAGCTTTTGGTGTTTGTCAGTCAGGTTACTGATTTTAGGCTTGGCTTCCTGCCCCTTTGGAATTCACTCATCATCCAAAATAAAGGAATTTTCATTTATGTGACTGCTCCTGCATTGAGTGATTCTGGTGTTCTGCATTCTGGGTCAAACCTCCTCCTCCTCAGCATGTCAGAAGTTCTTTTTCTTTTTAATCTCTCGTCATTTGTCACATTTTATTGAAAAGGCATTTTCATTTAAATAAATCAGAGTTTGAAACTGAAAGGCAATAAAAATAAATTTACAGGTGATGCAGAATAATTTTAGAGTCTAAATACTTTGAACACAAACTAATGGAGGAGATATGTTTTCATCAATCCCACCTCCCAAACTGATTCTCTTACACAGTCAACACACGCTTCCATAACAACACTGCAAAAGCCATCTGACAAAGTTCATGCCTGCCCTTGTTAATCTTGTGAACAACAGCTGTCTACAAAACAAGCAACACTGGGTCACTCAAGGCATCATGTGTATGTTTGGTGTTTCTTAATGTCAAGGCACCTGGCCTTGCGAGGCAATATCTTGCGAGGCCAGGCACCTTGCTTACGAGGACACTGTCCTTCCTTGGTCAAAGAAAACGGTTAAAAAGAACAGACTTGCATCACGTAACCATGATTTTCGCGGTGATCACCTAACGTCACGTGACAAGGGAGATAACATTATATTTTATACCTATAAGTTTCAATATAAATATATAATGAGCCTTTTACTTTTAAAATTGTGTAAATATTAGTTTAATTAAACATATAAGTGAGTTACTACCCGCTAGCCACCGAAAGCTGCAACTACAACTAACCAACAATTTATAACTTCTTTAAATAAATTAAAAAACTTTAAATTAGTTGACTTACTTTTAAATTTGAAATTTGCCCTCAAAGTAGCTTCCGGCTTCTTATCCACCACCCTTTTGAAAATACTGCGGGGAATTCTTGACCAAGGCTAGGCTACAAGACACCTTCCGTGTATCCTTGCTCTGCTAGGTAAACAGCTAACAAATGGAGAACACGCGCTTAGGTAGAACATGAACATTGGAACACGCCTTGGTGGTTCATGATGACATTTCTAGGCAACCAGGACAGGACCAAGACATCAAGGCAAGGTTCCTTGGCATTGAGAAACACCTGTTGTTTATGTTGGTTGAGCATCGTCCTGCTAGAAAACGTTGTTGGACTTTTTCAGAGTGAGATGTCATAAAACATGTCGCAATTTTGTTTTGGGTGTTCTTAATTTCTCCTGCACACGGCTGTTTTCTTAAAACAAAATATGTACACGAAGTAGATAAATATACTGTTTGGTTATGGATCAGGTCTGCTCTTTCTGACAAAATGTGGCCGGTGTGGGTTATAGTTCTGAAAATCATCATTACAAAGCTACCAGGAGCTAAATAAAAGGAGGGGAAGATGTGAAAATAAATGCACATTTGTCGCAAGAATAAACCTCTAATACATATTGTACAATAAAGATAAGAGATGAGACAAGATGATTATTCCTACAATGAAAGTGCTCAATCATCAAGAGTGAGGCAATAGCGTTTATTACTTTGATTTAATATGAGCAGGGACTGAACTGCAATAAATCCTCCTACGTTGACAGTTACCTGGCGTTCGCTTCATGATTGCATGTATTTGCACTGTCTGTGAATTGCCCTTTGGGTTAGTGAAGTTTTCTGAAGTTGAACCTGCTTTCCCAAAGGGGCATTTACGTATTTCACAGACGTCGCACAAAATGCTGACTGTTAAATAACGTTTTTGTACAAATGGTAAATTTGAAGGTAAAGCACATATTCCCAAAACAATGCTGTTGGAGTTCTTTGTTATGTTCGTACTGTGTTTGTTTTCTGATTTCATTTTCTTTAGTTCTTCGTTGTACACATTGTGATGCGGGTTTGTTTTTACCTTTGCCGACATGCTTCGACGTCACTGCCGTCTTCGTCAGGGTAACGGCCGAATGTTGGTGGCGTCACTTCCTTTTATCCGCGGGCTGCTGCACGCGCCCTCTCTGCTAAAGGAACACATGAACAACATCGATGACACCAACAACATAAAATTTACATACGAAGAAGGCAGCATAACTTTCATGGACATGAAAATAACAAGGCAGAGAAATGAATCCCTGAACATAAATACACACAGACCAATATTTACTATGGACATCTGAACATCCTATCATACATAAAATGTCTGTAATCAGAACACTTTACCACCGAGCAAACAAAATAACAGAAGAAGAGGAATGCAGACAAGAGGACCAACACATACAAAACACTTTAAAAACCTGTGGATACCCAACATGGGCAATCAACAAAGCAAAGCAGCAAGTAACAACAAAAAGAAAAGACGAACCAAAGCAAAAAAATAACAAAAAAACAGAAAACACGGAGGCAAAACCAGTAATAACCCTTCCATACATCAAAGGCATAACAGCAAAGAAAAATCACAACATAAACACACAAACAAAAGCATATATGACAGTTAGGAAAAGACAAGTGCACCCAAAAGACAACAAATCATCAGCACAAAAATGTGGAGTCATATACAAAATCCCATGCAAACTCCGTAACAAAACAGACACAGGAGAAACTGGACGCCAGTTCAAGACACAAACAATAGAACACAGAAAGGAATATGAGAAGGAAACAAGTTGAAGACACACAAGAACGTTGGTTACGTATTGTAACCCCAGATTCTATGAGTCTAGTCGCAGCCCTTAAGTGAGCTGCTATTGGAAGGATGATCTCCGCATCAGCCAATCATGAAGAGCTTAAATGTACGCCCACCAATAGTGGGCCCCCTCGTGGTATATAACCGCAGTGACCCCACTGCTCGCCTCCAATGGCTCTTATTCCATCATAACCAGTGGGGCCAAGTGGCTTAAGGGCTGCGACTAGACTCATAGAATCTGGGGTTACAATACGTAACCAACGTTCTATTTCGTCTAGTCTTAGCCCTTAAGCGAGCTGCTATTGGAAAAAAGCGCAGCTGGATGGGTTTACGCCACACTGGTTAACACAACCAATGGACACACCCAATCAATCTCTTTTAGTGAGGGACGTTCAGCCTCAGACCAGGCTTAAAGACTGAGGCAGCCACGATAAGAGAGGGGCCCTCACTAAAAAAACATCATCCACGAGAGGATGACATCCATCTCAGCAAGGCCAATGAGGTGCCATAAGCATTCATTCAGCCTGCTGGGGTCCAAGCACTGAACGAGTGATGGAACCTGAAGACACATCTCGTAAATAATAACGAGTAAAGGAACAGGATGAAGCCCATGAAGCAGCCTGACAAATGTCCTCCATCGACACACCACTGTGGAGCGCCATCGAAGAGGAAATCCCCCTGGCTGAGTGAGCCCTGAGTGCCTCAGGGGAATCCTGCCCCGATGACGTGTAAGCGAGGGAAATAGCTTCACACAGCCAGTGCGAAAGACGCTGGGTCGACAGCGCCTGACCAAGGGAAGACTCCCTGTAGTGCACAAACAGGTTTTGTGAACGACGAATCTCCGAAGTGCGTGACACATACCGTACAAGCGCGCGCACCGGGCAGAGAAGGTGAGAAGCCGCTTCCTCCTCAGAATTATGGGAAGGAGGAAAAAGTCCAGCCAATGAGATTGACCTGGATTTGAAGGAAGCATTAATGCTTTTGGGCACAAAGGCTGGATTGGGGCATAAAACAGCAGACCCGCCATCTTCCCGGATCCTGAGGCATGCGGGAGCCACTGAAAGGGCGGTCAGGTCACTCACTCTCTTAACTGATGCTAGCGCTAGCAGCAATGCAGTTTTAAGTGACAGGAACTTGAGTGAGACCTGGTCCAAGGGTTCAAATGGGGCTTTGGATAAGACGTGCAGAACCACCGTTAGATCCCATTGGGGAAAAAGCGGGCGGGACACAGGTCTGTTCCTCCTGACACCTTTTAGAAAACGTTTTGTGAGGGGATGATTGAAAACAGATCTATCTCCAAACCCTTGGTGACAGGATGAGATAGCTGCAGCATATGTTTTAATAGTGCTGAAGGCGAGGCCCCTGTCCATCAGTATCTGCAGAAACGATAGGACATCCGCCAGCTGGCAGGAGAGCGCTTGAACATTCCGCTCTGTGCACCATTTCTGGAAAGCTGCCCATTTAGCAGCATAAGACACAATGGTAGAGGGCGCCCGCGCACTCTGAATCGTGGCGACCACATCATGCGGCAGCCCAGAAGCCTCTAAGCGTGACCGCTCAGCGGCCAGACCCACAACCGTTGGCCTATTTCCGGAGGATGTTTGATTATTCCATCCGCCTGGAGAAGGGCGTCCGCCCTCCACGGGAGCCTCCACGGGGAGCCGGACACTAGCGCTTGCAGGTCCGGAAACCATGACGCGGACACGCGCCTGGGAGCCACCAGAATCACCGAGAGCCGTTCCGACCGAATTCGGTCTAAGAGACGGGGAATCAGAGGGACTGGTGGAAACGCATAAAGGAGCGCTCGAGGCCAGGGCTGGTGTGAGAAGGCGTCCGCCCCGAGCGGAGGTCCGTCCCGGGTGCTCAGGGAAAACCACAGGCGACACTGAGCGTTTTCGCGAGCCGCAAACAGATCCACAGACGGTTCCCCGAACCTGATCCAGATCTGTGATATCAGTGCGGGATGCAGACGCCAGTCGGAGTCGCGGGGTCCCCCTCTCGACAGGATGTCTGCCGCTACATTCAGGACCCCCGGAATGTAGATGGCTCTGATGGACAGCAGGTGGACATGTGTCCAACACAGTAAATCTGTGGCGACACGCAACAGTGGGAGGGATCGAACTCCCCCTTGGCGATTTATGTAGGCTGCCGCCACCTGGTTGTCTGTGTGAACTTCGACATGACGGCCCTCGAGAAGGGCAGCAAAGTGTCTGATCACATTCCTCACTGTCATAAGCTCCAACACATTTATGTGCTCGTGCGTGTGGGAGGGCCAACGATCTGCCACCGTATGGGACAAGCACGTGCCCCCCCACCCCGACAGTGACGCATCCGTAAACACAG